TCTGAGGGAAAGCGAAAGCGGGGCCGTGGGGTTACACCACAGCGCCCTGCTATAAGATTTGTGGCCGCAGCACCCCGAAACCCCGGAGAGCTCCGGGTGCGGAGGCAGGGCCGCCGCGAGGCGAGAAGGTTCCCCGGCAGGCAGGAGCGGAGAGCTTCGCCAGGGCCCCTTGCTCTTACCGGAGAAACGCTCTTAAAACAACCCAGCCCCCCCGGTTACCCTCAAACCCAGGAATGCAGCCGTAACCGAAGTGCTGTATTTTAAGAACAAAGTCTCAGCGTGGCAGTTCTTGTAGTGGCAAAAATGCAGGACTGTGATGAACCTTGCTTGCTTGGAAAATAAATTGTTAGAACCGCTTTCGTTGCTTACAGAGTATTGTTTTATATTTCTTAATAGAACCACCGCTCAAGTCATGAGAAAGGCTAGATCACCCGGCTCCCTCCATGTTTTTAAATCTTGTTTTCTCTGGCAGGAGCGGAGCCAATGACTCTTGGCTCCCCAACCTCTCCAAAGCCAGGAGCCAGCGCTCAGTTTCTCCCTGGATTCCTGATGGGCGATTTACCTGCGCCAGTGACTCCGCAGCCACGGGCTCTGAGCGGCCCTTCAGTCGGTGTGATGGAAATGAGGTCTCCCTTGCTTACAGGTCAGAACTTGCTGAATGCTGTAAAATTGTAGTAAAAGTTTGAACTCAAGTGTATTCAGTTGGCTAAATTCTTAAGAATAGACTTAAGTTTAATATATGTTTTAAATGTGGCAGTTTTGGTACCAGGAAAGGTTGCTTTTACAAGGAAGGCAGTATAAACCACTTCTAGTATAAAATCAGTTTCTTAGAAGCCAATTGCACATGCAATCATCAATGTTTTCTTTGTGTGTGAAGTGGAGATGTCAGCTGGCAAACTACCTGCATTACTGCCAGCTGATGCTTTCTTTCACGTGAATTCTAAAAAGTCACTTGCAGATTGTCAGGCTTCTAAAAATTGCATAGAAAAAATAAAAAAAAATGCTTTTTAATTAGTGTATAGTGTCTGTGTTTACAGTTTTGATGTTTGCTGTAATTGGGCTGGAGTAGTTACTTCTCCTGGCTGCAGCCCTCCCTCCTGGCTGTAGCCCTCTTTCCAACCACCTCATTGATCCAACTAGAAAAAGTCCTTACCCATGTTTCTGAGGTGACAGTGTTGTATGTTTTTCTTTGAGAAGTATGAGCGAGTAGTTAAGAGCTTAATTTATTTTTTTCCTGTCATGAGTGATCTTGGATAAGTATCTGGTGGTGTTAGTGTGCTAGTCATTTTGAGGGAAAAGAGAAGGATTAAAGTACTGCAAGATAACTTTTCTTTCAATTACAAGCAGAATTGTTCCATTCCAGCTTGAGACAGTCTGTGATGCATGGTTTGATGGTCTCCCCTACAAGCCTCATAGGAAAATAGTTATGAAATTGAATCTAGTCATGTGAATTTCACCTAATTGTTTTTAAAAGTGTTTGTTAAAGCCTCAGAGTATCAATTATAAAAAAGGGAGGAACCAGTAAGATGCTAACACAGGCATTTAAACTGAAAACCATTCTTCAGAGAGGAGTCTTGAAGCTCAGAATTTCAAATTGAAAAGTACTTTGGAAATGCTTAATTTCCAAATGTTTTCAAAGTAAAAACTGTTAAGTCAAACTTCTTTTTCCCCCTCTTTGGGGTAAATAAATGAATGTATTGGGTTAATAAGACGTCTGAAAATTTTAGATGATACTTTTGTAAGGAGACAGTTTCTGACACGTTTTTTATGTAGAACATTCAAACCTGAACAGTTTGGTACAAATGTGAACAGTCAGGTGATTTTGCAAAAAAATTCACCCCCAGTGAAATGATCAACAGTCTGTCATGGCTGAATTTATTGTTGAAATTTCAATAACAAGTACTAGTGGAGTGGAATTCCAGGTTTTCTCATGCTCTTCATTTGTTCCTTTTAATTGCAGGAGGATCTCCCCCGCAACCAGTAGTCCCTACACATAAAGATAAAAGCGGTGCTCCACCAGTTAGAAGTATCTATGATGAATTATCTAGTCCTGGACTTGGGTCAACACCTCTAACCTCAAGAAGACCAGTAAGTGGCTTAGGTACTGGCCTGTTCTTAGTGGAAGATGTGAGATAGCTTACTGCTGCAGTGAATTCTTTAACTCAGTTGTATAAACTGCTGTAGCAAAAAGACCGGTGAGTCTTCAGATCATGCTTCGTGTGGGTGTTTGGTTTGCCTGTTCCTGTGTAGTCTGAATGAGAGCTACAGTCATGGAATTATCTCCTGTTGTTACTGAGTTTTTGATACTGTAGAGAATGAAAAATGCAAATTGTGCCTCTGCTGTGCTTTGTGCATGACAAATGCAGGCTTATTGCAGCTTTTCACCTCCTTGTAAATTTATTTGGCTCCTTGTTGCCTAAAGGGTCCAAATGTGTGTTATCTTTTAGTGGGCAATGGAAGCATTTACTGAAGTAAAAGGAATTTTGTGCTGAGTAAAATATCTAATCAAAATTTGGGCAGAGAGCTGGGGTTAATTTTGAAAGAATAACAGTAAAATTTCTAGAAGGTCATTCTCAAAATAAGCTCTGCTAGTTTGTTCAGCTGAGCAGTCAAGCGTTATTAGGTGCTTTATCAGTGAACGTGATTGTTTTGTTGCAAGGAGAAGACCTTCCACTGAATGTGCAGTCTTTTTATTGAGTGTTGTCTTCTGAAAACTTTATTCTGAGTGCTTAAGTTCTTTGTAAAGGACAGAATCCAATGCTGTCTTAAAGGACTAGATATTTATAAAAAATGTTAATAATGAGCAGCTATCAGAGTGCATGGTGTTAGGTCTACAAGTGCTCCAGTTCATTTGATCTTGTATCTAAGAAATGCCATGTTTCAGGCTAAAAATACACTAAAATTGTTCTGGATATTGAAATCTTTCAGTGTTAAAAAGAAAATAACTACTGGAAGGAAAACGTGAAGTATACTTCGTTTCAGTGCAGTTGCACTGAGTATAGTTGAGAGGGAAATTCAACCTATTCTAAGCCCTTTAGAGACTGAAAATGCTGGTAACATGATACTGGCGTCCTTTCCATTAGGATGCCTGTGAACGTGTGTATTGCTGTACTACAGCAATAAGAAGGTGCCTATTTTGAAAAAGTTAAACTCTTAAGATTTTTGAGTATTGGTACCTCACAAAGCATGTGTGATTAGTGTTAGGTAATGGATTTTTCAGTTCTATTAACTAGAGCTCACACTTAGCCTAAATAAGCTTTCTTGTATACCAGTAGTTCTTTCCTGTTAGATGATAAAATACTGTAGACAGACACTGACTCCTGTTGCTTGTGGTGTTTCCCTTCTTTAGTTTGCTTTGCGCTCTCTGATACTTGCATTTAAGCCTCTGATCAGGAAAGGTAACTGCATTCTCTTGAAAAGCTTGGTAATCAACTGGAAATTATAGAATGTAATAGTTGAGTCCTACCGGATGTCCATTCTAACTGCTAGGCTGTGTGCCGGAATACAAAAACTTTGTCAAATAACTTCTCATTCATGCGTTTTAATAATTTTATATTAAATATACATGTATATGTCTGCCCTTAATCTTTAAAAGTTGAGAGTAATTTTTAAGGCAAACAGTTACTATTCCTACCTGTCACTTAAGTTATTTAAAATGATTTGATTTGAAAAGTGTACCTGTAAGAATGATTTGTCCTTTGTGTATTTCATGCAGGCCAGCTTTTCTCTGACACAGAGCTCATTGGTTGGAACTATGCCATCAACTCCTGGAACAGGTAGATGTCTTGTCAAAATATGTAATCTTTCTTATACTTAATATACAAAAATCATCACTATTCAAGGTACATCAACTGCTAGCTAATTTACAAAGGAGTTGATCTTTATTAGCTTTTTGAAAGGTATGTGGATGTGAATAGGAAACACTTTTCCACTCTGACTAAATTTCAAACAAATTTATTTACTTCTTATTCAAAATTTGTTGTTTAACTGAGCACAGAAGTGGTTGTACTTGAGGGAAGCAGCTGAAATCGATGAGTCTCTTTCCACCTTATCATAAGGTTACCTGTCTTGTTTATGAACCTGTGGCTTCTTGCTGAGCTTAATTGTGTTGTCTTGTTCCTTTCTGGTTTCTGTATCAAGCTGCTGGTGTTTACAGGTCAAAAAAGCTGACTTGCTAGTCTTAAAACTCACTAGCATGCTTACAGACATGAAGTTTGGATTAACTTACTCTTTGTGTCTACAAATAAATTGGGTTGGCTCAGCCGGATTTTGGTGGCG